TGTCTCAGGTCTCTCAGCTCAAACTTGACGGAGCTGAGTTGTGTGTGTGTGTGTGTGTGTGTGTGTGTGTGTGTGTGTGTGTGTGTGTGTGTGAAAGGCAAATATAGAACCGCCGTGTTATTTAGAGGATATGACGGAGGGGAAGGAGGAGGTTGGGGGGGTGAGGATGGGAACAATGAGGATGAGAAGGGAGGGCAAGTGTGGAAAGAGAAAAGGGGAGGATGAGGGAGGAATGTGGAAGGGAAGAGGCTGAGAGTTGGGCTTTGGGGGAAGAGAATGAAGTGAAAAGGAAATAAGAATGTGAGAAGATTTGGGGAATGATTAAGAGGCGAGAGAGAAGTCGGAAAGGTTAGAACAAATAAGGGAGAGAGGGAGAAAAGAGGATGTGTGAAAAATGGGAGAAAGTAGGAAAGAGAGGGAGTGGAAGACGGTACAGGTAGAAAGGAAAACGTATAAGGGAGGATGGGAGAGAAAGGGGGGGGGGTAGGAGACGAGGTGTGGTAGGGAGGGTGGGATGTACACCCTCTTCCCCTCTTGCACACACCCTCCTCCCCTGCTACTACATCCTCCTCCCCCTGCTACACACCCTCCTCCCCCCTGCTGCACGACACCCTCCTCCCCCCTCTACACGACACCCTCCCTCCCCCTGCTACACCACCCTCCTCCCCCTACACATTCCCCCTTACCCTCCTCTCCCCTGCCTACACCACACCCTCCACACCCTCCTCCCCCCGCTACACCACACCCTCCTACCCGCTCTCCATTTTCACGCCAGCCTGGTTGAGTTGAAAGAGACACACTACTGTTTGTCTACAACAGCTGAAAATCATCGTCTTTGTTTGGTTATCAGAAACCTGGCTCACTCTGCCTCAAGGGGAGTGGTGGGAAGAGGGGAGGTTGGTGGGGAGATGGGAGGCTGGGTGGGGAGATGGGAGGCTGGGTGGGGAGAGAGGAGGCTGGGTGGGGAGGGAAGAAAATTTTGGGTTGGGTGGGTGGGAGGCGGAACGTTGGAGTTGATGGGGTGAGGAGAGAAAATTGGGGTGAATGGGAGTGAGAGCGTTGGGTTGGTTTGGGGAGAATGTTGAAGTGGGTGAGGGGAGATTTTGGGGTGGGTGGGTGGTGGGTGGGTTATAGGACGTTATGGTGTGGGTGATAGGAGAGGGGATGTTGAGGTCGCGGTGTGGATAGTGAAGATGAGGTGAGGGTGGTGACGGGAGAGGGTGTGATGAGTGGGAGAGATTGTGGTGATGGGTGAGAGAGGGTGTAGTGATGGGTAAAGGAGAGAGTGTGGTGATAGGGAGGGGGAGGGCGTAATGGGTGGGAAAGAGGGTGTGGGGGAGGGAAGATGGTCTATAGTGAAGATGGGAAGGAAGGAGAGGGAGAAAAGATGGAGAGAGTGAGAGGCCAACTTGCTTTCTCTCACCACACACACACACACACACACACACACACAGGTAAGACCTTTACGCCACAGTTACAATCCTTGGACAGGTTTTAAGAGTAGTAAACGTTCTTTCAACTCTTAAGATAAAAAAACTTTACAAAGCGAAACAGAAAGAAACGTTTTATTAATTTTTTATCACATCCACAAACGCTGTCTGACTTAAGGCTGCAGCTTTGCATCTATTGACGATACTAAACCTCATGTGATTTCAAGTGACGAGTTACAGATGGTTTAGGTCGTGTGCGGCTTTTACAAATTTCCCCTGAAAAGGATGAAAGCCAGTTTGTGTGTGTGTGTTGGTGAGAGACTCCCCGTGTGGCTTGTAGCGTGAAGAAAAGATGTTGGCTTTTATGTTCAGAGTTTTGTTGGTGATATTGGTGAGGCAGTATATATATATATATATATATATATATATATATATATATATATATATATATATATATATATATATATATATATATATATATATATATATATATATATATATATATATATATATATATATATTAGATGCGACAGCGTTTAATACCCAGAAAATTTGTGTACATATCAATATTTTTCCTAATTTAGAAAGCATTATAGAGATATGAATATTAACCATCAGTAGATCCAGATTAATACCTGATGTATTGCCAACACTTTTTGTATCCCTCACAGTACAGTATTTCATGAATATTGAATATGATTTGGGGAGGGAAATTAATTAATTATCCTAAATTTAATGTATTTAATTCCAATCATCGATAGTAACAGGTGACCCCAGAGTTGACCGTCCCAGTACATGTTGTGAGTGATCCTGTTCAGTTGAGTAAGGCGACGTAATAAACCAGGAATGAACCTTACAAGAGAGCAGAGGAGTGGACGAGGTGGATCACAGCGACTGAGTAACCCAGCTCCCCACATTCCTCCTCGCTCTGAGCTGAGACACGAGAGAGAGAGAAAAAAAGAAATAAAAAGAAAAACAGAAGAACAACAACAAGACTATTTCCAGCTATGAATGAAACACTACACAATTCCGGACCGCTTAAGCCGTCTCCTATATTCTCCGGACCGGCCCTTATAAGTGTCAAAAGAAGCACCCGCCGCCAAACGTAAAGGTCCGATTAACAACTTT